AAAGTCAGAGCTGTTCAATGATAGTCCAGCCTCACATCGACCAGTGAACTGGTCACCAGCTGCCTCATACCGAAAGTACCTCTCCATGACATTTCCGAGGAACCAGCCACACCGAAGGCACACACTGATAATTGACGGACCCCCGGTGCTGCCCGATGACACAAACGTAGCAGCACCCTTCCGAATGGAGTGAGTCCCAATGTCCTTCTTTGCTTTTGAGCTGCCCCCGCAAACCAACGCAGCAAGTGACTTTCCAAAGCGATCCTAATTAAATCATCTAACTTGATTCGAGTGTGACATGACTAATCACCTGGTTGGGGACATCCTACTGTTGCAAGAAAGATAGAGCCCCAGAGCGACAAAGAGGCATGTCGCCGGCTTTAACGGGTTGGAGTAACAGTGCTTTGGATCCTTGATTTTCGTTCCTAATTAAATGTATGAAATTGCATTCCGCATAAACAAACATGTACTATTCTAACCTTCCTGGTTGGTCTTGGTTTAAAAGAATGTGAAACCAATGCTGTCATCCTCACACGTCATGTGATCGAACCAATATGCAAACATAACTATCCTGAGCAAGACATAGTGTAATACCGGACTGTCTCTGTTGATTTCGAGCGACACATAAGGTTCCACGACAGAACCAGGAACAAATGCGCGAAGCCACCATCGTTCAGTGCCATGCTCTTTACGCACAGCGACTCGAAAAGATCAAACGTCATCGGACGCTTTCCTCGGTACACTTTTTCACCAGTTTGAAGCCCATGGGCCACGCTCTTTCGTAGTCCTATTACAATTGTCATAACTCAAAAGCTCAAAAATATTAAAATATGTAATACCCGAAAAAATTCCCTTGATGTCATCGCCATATTCCACTGGTAATGGTACACCTTGGTCCTTGTAAAGGCTCTGGATGGCACTGCGATACCCGCTGATTGTTCCCATCTCGACATCCTTGTTTTCGACTGTCCATTCTATGAAGGAGAGGAAGTGCTTGTAGGTGAAGTGATTCAGGTCCAGCGTCGTTCCGTCTCGGCTCTCACTACATGGACCCAGAAGGTCGTGCAGTCCTGCCTGTACAACCCATTTCTTGATTTGGTTGAGTCCAGATGTGTATCCACTTCTCGTTTGTTGGGAGATGCGATTTCGCCGAGCACTGGCTGTGGTGAAATCCTCCTGCCGAGGCATCGCAGTGGAGTCGCTTGGGATCCTTTAAATCGATTCAATTGGCCACATACATTGGGTTTTTGTGACTTTTCATTGGCTGCTGGTAACATAGTGCAGTGTGCACTACGTTTTCTTCCAACATTGCGATATTGTTTTTTTGAATTGTACAACTTAGATATTGTATGTCGTTTCGAATAAAATTGGTGTTTTTGTTGCAAACAAATCGAAAATGCAGTGCCTCCTGCACTACGATTCCGGTAATTATATCAATACTTCACTGCATTTTCCGGATTATGACGCATAATTTAATCTCCTCCAAAATTTAAATCATTTCAACAGTGATTTGAATATTATTTTGACTACCCGGATGCCATTGGTCGAAATGAAAACCGAACTTCGAAGTACAGTAACCAATCAGATAATGCAAAGGTCGAAACGTCGAAGGTAAAAGTTGGCCTTGCATTCTGAACTTACAGCATTCAACGGCGATGGTGTACGTAGCGCATGTCTTGGATTGTAAATACTTTGGATTTCGACGTGAATTGCACAAGCTATGGACAGTATCCATTCACTTGATAGCTGGTATAACTTACACTCCCCTCCTCCAGTGTCAATCCCCCACTACAGTACGTTAACCAGTAAAAGATATAAACCATGTTTCCTAATTAAGTCGTGTGCCATGCAGGCGTTCGCGGGGTTGCTTTGGACGATTGCACATGACGCGTGCCTTGTTTTCGTTTGGACTCGACGGCACGGAGCTGCTGCGGTGACAGCTTCAACCTCGAGTTGGAGCGTTCGGGCTGATGGTTTTCCATGTAAGAAGCCACTGGAGCGACCGGAGCCAGGTCGGGCTCGCTGCTTCCGTGTCGGCCGTTAAAGTCAGCCAAATAGTCCGAGCAAGATGACGATGCCGTGCTCCATCGCAACGTCTCATTGGTGGTAGATGAAGGTCGTTGGAGAGTCTTCGTGGGTTTTTTAGCGACATCTTTCGTCTTGTACTTGATTATACATCGTTTGCACAGCACTTGGGTTTGGGTTTGGTTCTTGGGCTGCCACACAATGATGCAGTCAAAGCAAACTGACTACAATCGATCAATATCAGTCTCCCAATTACCCAACATCCTAAAGCTCAAACCTCGTCGCATTTGAAACACAACGTCCTCTTGCGCAAGATATGGAACCGACGCGTGCAGCACATGCAATGCGACCGAGTGGCTTTATCGGAAAACAGCACCGCTTCCGTCGGCGACGGCGCCACACAAAACGAGAAATCCATGGCCTGTTGCCAGATTCAATAATGTCCTACCACGAACGTGCCTTGGTCCACCATACAGTATATGTTGGTCGCCGCTCGGTTTCTGGCGAGAACAGTGAAGTTTGTCCCTTCCAAGCACCCCGGATCGCCGAAGTGCATCAGAGAATAAAATCGACCAACTGGTATGTGCTGGTAGTGATCAATATATTATAATGGTACTATTATGAGTTTCAATTCCAAGCCTGCAACCCCCATTCGTTAGGAAGTATTCGTAGGCGCTATGTTTTGACTAGCTTGTCCAGACCCCCACGTCTGGAAGAGAGGGAAGGCGGTGGCTTACGTATACAAGTTATTACAATCGGGCACGGTGATAGCGCGAACCGGGGCACCGTTGACTAATCAGATGCGTTGGACAAAACATGTAAAGAATGCTCGTTTCAGCTACAAAAGGTAGCCCAGCAGTATGCGCAAAGGAAGGCACTGATTTGAGATTCCACCATTAAGATAACGTTAGTTCAGCGTTTTGAATCTTCTATACCGGTATCTGGTATGTAGAGTACTATGAATTGTCGACAGAAGGTCTCAGAATTGTTAATTCGTGCACTTGGGATAATGCTTATTAAGATAACGTTAGTTCAGCGTTTTGAATCTTCGGTATCTGGTATGTAGAGTACTATGAATTGTCGACAGAAGGTCTCAGAATTGTTAATTCGTGCACTTGGGATAAAGCTTGGATCCAGGTGCGTCGCCAAATTCTACTGTACGTACAGTGGGATTTGACAATAATATTAGATCAATACCCCGATCAACACCCGTTCAGTGGTCTAAAACTCAAACAAAACAGTACATGAACTATTAAATTATAATACTACGCAGTGTCTCGTTGGTGTCGTGTTTCGTACCGACCTAAATTCTTGCTACAATTTACGACCGTTGCATCAAGTGAGAAGAAACCTAACTAAAGCCAATTGTGGACGTTGACACTCGAGTGCTTTCGAGCTACTACAGTATTAGTATGTAGTACAATCTAGAATGAATGAAACACCCCTGTCTGCGACATCAGCCATGCCGCTTGTCGGGTCAGAAAGCAGACCAACACGAGAGATAACGGTGTTTATCGAGTAACAGGTACTGTAGCAACCTAGTTATTGGCTTTGTCAATCGCAGAAATTATGTTAAATAAGATATGCTACACCTATTCCATGGTGAAACCCGTCGGGTCTGACATCATCAACACCATCGTCAGCGCTTCTTTGAGAAGGTCCATTGTCGGGTAAAGCGGCAGGTCGATGCGGTTGTAGCACGCGTGGATCACTGGGTACCGTCCCGGGGTGTACTCGGTGCCTTTGAGCGTAAAGTAGCAGATTTTGCCGTCGTAGCTGGTTAGCCCTATATACACAAAACCGCACGATAAATATCTTGAGATGTACTAGTACGGACTACGAATCATATTATCTCAATATCGTCATTTAAATGGTCGCACCTTTGAACCCTTGAATAGGATCCTGAGACGACCCCGTTGAAAACTGTAACAGCTTGGCTTGGTCTGGTCGCGTCAAGCTTTCGACCACATCCTAGAACCACTGATAATCCCAAAAAAACAAAAAAGAATATAATGAACAAACACATTTTTTGAATATATCCAAAAATATATTTGTTCGTGTCGTCCTCATCACACACGTACCTCGAGCACGTCGTGACCTTTCAAGTTACTCGACGTCAGGGTGCTGGTTTTCCAATCGCCCATGTCAATGTCCGTGAGGCCACACAAGTGTAACCCAAACTAATAGTAGGCACAAACCCATATGCACATACTAGAAACACTATCAAGACGTGTAGAATATATATACATATATACAGTATATAATCTTCTTGAAATCGAGAGAGTATGATATTATGTACCTCTTTGTGGTCAAACACAAGCAGCAATTCCGGCGGTACGATCTCGTGCAAGCCCAGCAACACGGCTTGCAACTGGGTTTCCACGCGATCAAACAGCAAATACCGAACCTACTGTAATAATAAAAATATTTCAACAAGCTTTACAATATATAAATATATATATCTGACCAGCAATACGAATATAGTATCCGAAAAGTGCACACAGTACCATGCGCTGCACATAGTCGTGTTTGTTGTCGTTAGTGACGGCAACGTGTCGTCCGTGATCGATTAAATCCACTTCCGTCACATGTCCATCCGACACGCATTCCGTTGCTGAAAACGTGAGCGCCAGGTCGGCCACGTTGTCTGGCGTAGTTAACACATACAATAAACTAGGACAAAATCGAAATCACAGTCAAGGGGCGTAAACAGTTACTAGTAGTTTGTAGGTGTGGGAGGTGTGTTCTTGGGTACCTCTTTATACACGACCGGGTCTAGATGTTCAACATCGTCTAACGACAGCGACACACCCAGCATCGCTTCACCCATTTTCTTCGCACAACCCTCCCCCTCCTCTGCCGCCAACATATAGCCACGTTCAATCGGTAGATGTTCACCTTAGAATGACACTGGACTCAACTGCAGTGGCAGCTTCTGCCCGTCCACTAGCGCTCGTCCAATGAACCGCCCCACCGCTTGGAACGCAACCAGGTGGTCCATCTTGCAAGCTCTACAACGTAGTATTATGACTTTGCTGCATATTTTCCAATTCTGCGCGATTCGTAAAACCGATCACAAATCTCGCCACGATATTTGATTGGGTTTCCCCATTCCACAGAAAGCACGAAGTAAAAAGGACAAAACAATGTTGCCAATCAGCGAAGTGTAATTTCAGATTGACCAATGGGAGCGATTCGTCATCGGTCATTACCAAATCATTGAATGCTGGACGAGCAAAAGATTGGGGAGATTGGAGGCAGGGGGAACGCCCGTGGCGACTCGATCACGGACGCCCTTCGATGGGAGTGTTCAATTTATGGATTTTACAATCTCACGACCAAGTTACACTGATGTCTCTGAGGCACGTTGAAAGGTTTATTGGTAGTCAAAACTCGTAATAGACCCATCGATCGGTTAAGCCATCTCGGTTCACGTCCCAGATAGTCACAGCCGTCTTTGAACATGTTATCCTTCCCGAGGACTTGAACGCTGTCCAGTGCAGCGCTCGGTACAGAGGCTGTAAACTGTATCGCATATCAACTTTCACTTGGGACCGTAGCATGCGAAGGCAGTGGACGAGGTCAACAGCCCACGGCACAGGACAATGGGTGCGCCACTTCACCACCACCCCGTTCGCAAGGGATGCGTTTGTGATTCAGCTTCCACGTTTGAAATGCTACTTGAACCATTCTATATCGTAGTAAATTACTACCCGTAGCAAAAGGATGTGTGTTAGCAGCTACAGTCCGTTGTTTGGTGGCGTTGATTCCATATGTTTTGTACCAAAATAATGTAATGGTACAGTAGCCATTGTGGCGTATATAGATCGTACCTGCAATAGTATACTCGTATTGCCGAGGATCTAGTTTACCAACCAGTCTTTTCATGCGTGAAGTGTACCTTCGATTGTGCGAGTATCCATTCTGTGCACATATTGGCGCTAGATACTAGCGTAGTTCGTACTTCATTTATTGTAACTAACATGACATTCACATTTACACACAGAACCCTCCATCCTCATGCCTCAAGTTGGCGTCCAAGAGACTGCGATGTCAACATAAATGCGAGGGGTTGTACTGTACGATTTGAACCTACAACTTTTCCACGTCTTCGCGTTTGAGGCCAGGCATGAAGACGCTGTACGCCGCATGAATTCGCACAGTGAGTTTAGGACAAATAAAGCACGTACTTACTTGCAACGAAGAAGCGGATCGCGAAGGGCATTGGCCGTGTCCGACCGACGGATGCAGTACGTGATGAGGTAGATCACGTCTGTGAATAACCCAAACACGCCTGTGAACACCCAAACACGACCAGAAAGATGCCAGGGCTCCAGTTTCCACCTTGCTATAGGAATTGCTCTCATTGTGGTCACTGTTGGGCGTTTCGGATTTCCACCATTTGAGCTGTACCAAGGTACCAAGGTATTCCTGATTTCCAACTCCGTGCATTTCACCCAAATTTTGACATATGAGTCATTTCGCGAAATCCATTTGATCGAATTTAAGCTTGTAGAAACTATCCAATGCGGAGGGACTGGGCCGAATTGAAAGTTTGGATTGGCAGAAACTCGACAGGACGTGATTTGATTAGCTTAGGTACATAGTTCTTTAATCCATTCTCTTATGTCATTCGATTCTGTTGAGGGCAGAATCGTTGTACTTTGAAGGCGAGTGGGCGATTCATGAGGACAGAATTCATACAAGCTGGTTCAACTAACGTTAGATTTACGTGGATGTCCACCATTTTAAAATATATGGGATTCACAATCAAGCCAGTCGCCAACCTACATACCGGTAGCCTACAGAACAATGACGACTCGAAAACAGTCGATGTGACGTAGATATGATACTTTTATTACATCGAGCTGATTCAATCGACGACGTCAATCCACTTGACAATCGTTCATCTATCGTCCTCACGTTCCAGAAATGCATTCCTTTCAATTATTGAATACTAGTAGTACAACCGGTACAGTACAGAACTACAAACATCGTCGCGACAAAGCCTAGTTGGCGCACCACTTGGTGCCGTGCATGGCGCTGTAGTACTCGCAGTCGGCCTTGTTAAAGTCCGACAAGCACGAGTTGTCGCCGGGGTAGTAGCACGCGTTGCAGTTGCCGCAGCCGGGCTTGGGCTGGTAGGGGGACGCGCCGAGTTTGGGAAAGAACACGTATTCCGCGACGTTGCACGTGCCCCTGCCGCCGGCGTTGGCGCGCAGGTAGATGTACCCACCATCCCCCCATCGCGTGCCCCACGAGTTCTTGATCTTGTACGACTGGCCGTCATATCCGACGGCGATGGCGGCGTGGTCCGAGCGCGCGGCCGGACAAGCCGAGACCACCCCGCGCA